TGAATCTTTAGAGAATACTCTTTTTGTGAATGATATTATAATTAAATAATTGCTACTAATCATCTTCTTGAGTATTTAAAAACATTAGATATACTAATTGTCAATGTAAATTAACGTAAACGGCCACGGCATATTATTGATAATAGTGCATTTTAACTATTAACAATTGATAATAATACATCTACACTAATGGGTAATCCGGATAAACAAACTGTCAGTGAAATTGGAATTCAAGTTTCTTTATCACTTTCAGATATGAATATCCTTTTATCATAATTATATCAGAACAAAGCAGATTTATTTGCTTTTAGATCTCAGCGTTTGCGAGATATTAAATACATAAATGAATGTCAGCAAATAATTAATGAAAATCAGAAAATGATCAATGAATTAAAATCTCAAATCTCAAATTTATTATTTGAAAATCAAGTATTAAAAGAATAATGAAATACTCAATTTGATGATCAATCAAAACACGTTGCAGCTGTAATAGAAATTGCCTAAAAGGAACGCAAAAATATATATGACGATATTGTTAACTTAATAAATGATCAAAAGTGATTCAGTTTAGATAATCTTTTGAAGTATTCAATTTTTCAATAGCTTAATGATCGTAATCCAGTTATTGTTAAATTTATAGAATCTCTTGCAAGTTATGATAATAAAAAAGAACTTGAAGGGGAGAAACTTTTTAAATGTGCTAAAGCAGTTGATATGATTTATAATGCAAGACACCTAAAATATATGTCAGCTATTAATTTAGCAATATCAGCAATCAAATATTCTATAGCAAAATCTAAAACCATTATTAACATTAATAATCATGTCATAAGTGCTGGAAGTTATACCAAATTTATCAAATGGTAGAAAAATCTAGCTAGTGATCCTAAACCATTTCCAAAAGAACTATTATTTATGGCATTTGATAATAAACAAAAGGAATAAAAAACTACTTAGATCGTAGTTATAATACTGTTATTTTTCATACTGTTACAAGTTTTGTTTTATTTAATTTTGATTCTATTAATCAAATACAGAGTATCAAAAATCCTTGGTTGCATCAAATTCTTAATACATTACAAATTCAAGAATTGTTTGATTTCACCTCAGAAATGCAAATATTACTTGACTAACAGCTTTGTGATTATCTTTCCATTATTTTAACTGAAGCATGTGTAGAGAAAAATGAAAATATAAATCATATTGATAATCTAATTGCTAAGCAGAATATGAGTATAGGTAAACAAAAGTATTGTAGTGAATGTGATAAAGGTGAGATTAAAAACTCCAAGTGTAAATGCCTTCAATATAATGCAAAACTTCTTTTATTCACTAAAACTCAACAAGAAATTGAACAAATAATTTCTAAGAAAGAAGATTCTACTAAATCTTTTATATTTAAATCCCATAAGTTTGAAACAGATACCTCTAACAAGTATATAAATCAAATTAGTATAACCCAAAGATCTACACCTCAAAAGGAGTTAATATACCTAATATTCATGTTCCAGATCTCTTACCAATAAATTCAAATTCTATTATTAATATTCGCAAAGTTTTAGACCATATTCAAGAAATTAGTAGAATTAACAATGGTGATCAAAAATGGATTGTAATAGTTTGTGATGGAGTTCCTACCATTATGCACAAAAATTCAAAAAGGATTATCTAGGAATATTTCTGGTACCTGGTTCACTTCATGAAGAAATGAATATGTTAAAAGCCTTTGTAGAGTTGAATTGGTATCATTATGATAATTAATGTTAATTATTCTAGAACTAATTATAGAATTAATCTTGTATTCTTTAATTAATATAAAATTTAGGGCCATCAATCTAAAATACTTTGCACAATGTTAAGGATATAGAACTGAAAATCAACTAGGATATTTTAAGAAATATGCTAATCATCATAAAGCATGAGATTCAATATGCAATATTTATCGGCATGCAATGGCAATGGAGTTGGTTTGGCCTTAAGTTACTTCAGTTTCTAATCTATCTATTAGTGGGTATCTTGATTGTAGTGTTCCGCATAGATTCAGATCTAATTCAGATTCAGATTCAGATCTGATCTGTCAGATTCAGATTCAGATTCAGATTGGATTCAGATCTGATCTGTCAGATCTGAATTCAACTTTTTTAAAGCTGAAAAGTTCTTTTTCAATGAAAAAAAATGAATTTTCAAAACTCTTATAGATCCAAAAAGTTCCTTTCATTAAAAAGGAATGACTTTTCAGAACTCTTTTAAAGCTGAAAAGGTTCCTTTTAATGAAAAGAGACAAATTTTCAGATTTCTTTTGAGTCAAAAATTTGTTTTCTTTCATTAAAAAAAATGAATTTTTAGAACTCTTTTAGAACTGAAAAGTTCCTTTCATTGAAAAGAAATGAAATTTTAGAACTTTTTTAGAGCCAAAAAATTCCTTTTATTGAAAAAAAAATGAATTTTTGGAACTCTTTTAGAGCTGAAAAGTTCCTTTCATTAAAAAGGAATAACTTTTTAGAACTCTTTTAGAACTGAAAAGTTTCTTTTATTTAAAAGATATAACTTTTCAGAACTCTTTTAGAGCCAAAAAGGTTCCTTTCAATGAAAAGAAATGACTTTTTGGAACTCTTTTAGAGCTGAAAAGGTTCCTTTTAATAAAAAGAAATGAATTTTCAAACATTTTTTGAGCCAAAAATTTGTTTTCTTTCATTGAAAAGAAATGACTTTTCAGAACTCTTTTAGAGCCAAAAAGTTCTTTTTATTGAAAAGAACAACTTTTCAGAACTCTTTTAGAGCTGAAAAGTTCCTTTTATTGAAAAGAGACGAATTTTCAGACTTCTTTTGAGCTAAAAATTTGTTTCCTTTTATTGAAAAAAAACGAATTTTCAGAACTCTTTTAGAGCTGAAAAGTTCTTTTCATTGAAAAGAAACAACTTTTTGGAATTTTTTTAGAGCTAAAAGGTTCCTTTCAATGAAAAGAAATAACTTTTTGAAACTCTTTTAGAGCTGAAAAGGTTTCTTTCAATGAAAAGGAATGACTTTTTGGAACTCTTTTAGAGCTAAAAAGGTTTCTTTTATTGAAAAAAAACATTTTCAGATCTCTTTTAGAACTGAAAATTCATTTTTTCAATAATACTTTTAGATTTGAATCAGATCAGATTTGGACTTAAACTGATCTGTCAAATCCAGATTTGAGATTCGATCTATCAGATTCAGATCAGATCTGGATTTTAATGGATCTGTCAGATTCAGATTAGATTCAGATCTTAAAAAATGAAAATTGAATCAGATCAGATTTTGATAAAATCTGATCTGAACTGATTTTGTGGAACACTACTTGATTGAGCTAAAAATCAAAAGGATGAATTATATAAATTAAAATATGAACAGGTACATGATACATCAATAATTGAGATTCTTATATTAACTGAATACTTACATCAATTTTTTAGATTTTTTGGTATCTACAAGCTATAATAAACTTTCATGTTAAAGTTAGATCCAACTAACCCTTACTTAAATCAACTGCATGTAGAATATTTGCTCTTATTTAGTCCTTCAGGTGGCATCCTATTTATCAAGCAATTAAGGTGACTGATGAGGAATAACTAATGCATCTTTACCCTGAAATCTGCTAATTTATTGAACGAAATATGATTGTATCATAATCAGGATGGTCAAACTAGCATCAGGGGTTAGATATCATACTTGAAAAAGTAAACAAAATGCTAAAAACGCTCATATCACCTATACTAATCCAGAAATATTAGGAGATAGCTGCAAGAAATTGTACAAAGTTTATGAAGGCAAGAATAAGTGTATTATTATTTTTGATTGCATTATTCTGTCATTATTTCTTTTGCAAATAAATAATCTTCTTCCTCAGCATTAGCATAGCATCAGTTGCAAAAGGCATTATTTGCTATAATTGGATATACAAATTCTGAAAGTACTAGTTCACGAATACACTTAGATTGTGTAATAGAATTACAACATTTTCGAATTCAATTAAGAAAGACCAGTTTCTTAAATCTACATGAAAATAATTATCAATTAGAGAGTTTAGGCAGAGATAAATTGAATGAAGAAATGAAAAAATTTAGCATTACAGCTTGAGCCTAATGTATTAATTATATAAAAGAAAAACTGACTTTAATAAAACTATCAGGATTTTTTTATCCTATTCCTATTACTTTCAATGAAATGTAATTACAATCAGCGGAAAGTTCAATGAAAAAGAAAGAGCTGATAGTTGTAATCAAAAGATTGATTAGATCTCTAAATGAAACTAACCGAATACAATTTTAAGGACTAAAATCAAAAAAAAGATGAGCTTTTAGTAATTCTACAACAAATTCGTGATCTTCTCAATATGACTAATAGTGATAAAGTAGAAGATACAATATAAATAGCAGGTAAAATCCAAAGTATCCTTAAAATTATAAAAGGAATTGTATAGTTGATCACTTTTATTATAATATTAAATAAAGAGAAATTTTTTTTTGCGAGATAAATTTTATGTAACAGTTTTGTATAATAAATGATATATCAAATTTTGTATTACTATCGATTTTGATAATCTTCTAAAATGTTGATCATTTATATATTTAGATATTCTATATATAGAAAAACATTAGACTGTATTGAGAATACTAGATGTAATATTAAATATGTTAAGCGTAATGCTGAAAATGCTGAGCTTAAGGCTAGAATTGTAAAGTTAAAAAAAATTCTTATCTATGAAAGGATTCATCTTCTAAAAAACTTGTTGATATATTAAACTCCATAATAGTAAATAAGACAATACCTGTTAATTCAAAGTTAATAGAGAAAAAGACCATAGACTCTTTCCTAGATGAGATAATTAAAAAAAAGTGTTAGTGATAAAATTAGGCAGAAAAAGCAGGAAGAGAAGTTTGTGAAAGTGGAAACTATTTTCTCTGAAAAGGATAAGCAGGTATCAGTTAATAAAAGGATATTTTATAAGGAAAATCAGAAAAAATAAAGGGAAAAATTCATTCAGAAAGTGTATGAGAGGTAGACACTAAAGTAACCCTAAATGATTTGATAACTTCAGTATCTTTCCAAAGAGAATCAGATTCAAAGCACCAATTGTTTCAATCTTATAGATGAGCTAAACTCAAATTCTTTAGATGTTTATATAGAAAAAATAATACAAAGCTGTGATTTTTTAGTAGTAGAAATAGGAACACCAATCTTTTCTCTTTTATATGAAAATCTTTGTAATATCATAATCCTTGCTGATTATATAACCTAAGAAGCTATCTTTTATTACTGTCAATTTGAAAAAGCTCTTATTCAAAGACGAGGTGAGATTGCATCTGAAAAATAAGTTGATCTGAAATCTAATACAGTTAATAGAATTCTAAATATAGAAGTTAAAGCTCAAATTCCTGCAAGTACTTCTGATATACTTTTATTAAAAAGAATTGAGCAGACTAAGAAGTTTTATATATTTTTTAATGCAATAAGTATAGATAAAATAAATCAAATTCATTTTTTCTCTGCTAATTTTATCTCAAAAATAATGTATAAAGACATCTAGTATATTATAGACAATATGCTCTTTGATTATAGCATTCACATGAAGTTATAACTTTGTGAACTAAGTTCACAAAGGAATAAGAAAAATTTTGACTTATCATATATTATCAGTTCAAATGCATCTACTGAATCTCAAGTTTTTAATAAATCTGCTTTAAAAAAATTTGATATCAAAGTAAAAGTGATACTATCTATTTCTCAACCCAATAGTCTAACTTATGACTACATCTATTTTTATAATAAAATATTGAATTAATATTCTACTTTATTTAGAGAATTTAGTAGTAAAAATTTTGATCATTGTGAAATTACTAATGAAACATTATGCTCATTATGCAAGTTAAGCCATGATGATAAAGAAAGTATAAAAGATCAATATAAAGCTGGATACTATTTTATTAAATATAAATAACACAAAATAGAAATAACTGTATAGTTATTATTTTATAATATCTATTTGCTCACATTTTATTATGATATTTTTTTTACAAGGTTAATTTATGTCGGCTATTATTTACTGTAATTTAAATTGATTAGCAATTATATAAAAAGGCAATATAAGCAAATCCAATAAAGTATTAATCTCTGAGTATCTGAATTGATATGATAAATTAACTAGATTATCAATCATTTTAACAGATAAGATTCAGTTCAACTTATACAAAAAATATAAAAAAAAAACTAGACATAAGCTATGACAATTATCAGAAGGTCATCTTCTCATTAATTCAAAGCCAGAAAATAAAGTATCTGATTTATCTTTATCTAAGCAATGTAAAAAAAAAGGGTCTATAATCTTCAAAGCTAAACTGATTCAGAATTAATTATCAAATCTATCTTAGAGCACTTCTTATATTTGAAATTCAGAAATAGTTTCAGAGGGATTGATAATTATAATTTTATATCACCTTAGTCATAGAGCTCACTATGTCCTATTTGTAATGGAAAATATGGGAATTATGAATTACATGATAAATTGGGATGTGCTATCAACAAAACTACAGACTCTCACTAAAAGTCTCTAGACATTTTTTGGCTCAATATAAACTTAGAATTTTTAAATTTTATTAAAAAACATTTATTAAAATATTTATTAAAGTACGATATATTACACATCTAGTACTAAATAATTAGTACTTAGTTAGGCCTCCATTTGCTTTAATCACAGTCCAAATTTACTGTGATATATTATCAACTAAATTTTCGATAGTTTATATCAGAATTTGTTTTCATGCTCTTATAACATGTTGATCGAGTTGAGCAAGGTTGAAAGGCAATGTTTTCCTTTCACAGATGCTCTTTTTGACTTCAGCCTATAGATTCTTAATAGGATTGAGATCTGGACTTTAAGAAGACTATAAAGTACATGCAGACCATTTTTTGCATAAAACTTCTTTGCAAGTTTTATTTTGTAAGGATGAGTATTATTCTTTTAGAATATATTATCACTGTTTGGAAATGTATACCTCATAGTTGACAAGACACGCTTGTGAAGAATAGTAATATATATAGCACTAGTAACTGTTCTAGATAATAGAACAATCGGTCCTAAACCTCATTTTAAAAAGCACTCTTAAAACATTCAGCTAGGACTATGTTTTACTATAGCAAATATACAAGAAAAGTTCTATTTTTATGAGGTTCACACCATACTTGACTACAATGGCTTTGTTAAAATTGTAAAAAGGTAGATTCATCACTTCACATAACCTTCGACCAATTGTTCTTTATTTAACTTTGATACTTTAAATACCATGCAAGACGTACCTCAACATTTGCTAGTATGATTAAAGGCTTTTATCGAGTAATACAATTGTTTAACTCAGCTGCATAAAGTGTCTGACTAATAGTACAAATTGAAACATCTTGGCTGATTTTTTTTACTAGAGTTATTATATTTCTGCAGTGCATAAGTGACAATTTTTTTCTTTATTATTAGTGATAATTCGCTTAAGCTAGCTTCACCTTGAATCTTTAATTAAGATGATCAACTTTAAAGTATCAAGAACTGTTAACTTTCTATAACTAATAGTTGTGACAATTGTTCAATAACTATTACCACATTGACGGCAAAAAATTATGCTACCACATTATTCTATTGTTAATTCTTTGAATATTTTCATTATTTTAAAAAGATAAAATTTTATTTTGATCTAAAATTAAAATAAACAAACCAAATATGTATTTATTTAGTTTCATTCAAGTAAACAATGTCTAAAATATTATATAGCCGTAATTTTATACAGTCACATGATGTAATCAGTATAAAAAAATCCCTAAAAGATAGTATCTGAAGACTTTTGGTAGGAGTCAGTATATATGGTCCTATAGTAAACTTACTATTAGAAATTTATTGATTATCATTTTAACTTCAGTCTTTACTAGCCCATTTTTTAATAAAATTTTAATAAAATAACTGAAATCTTTAAAATTTAATAACTTGTACTCTATTAATATTTAAATAACGCAGTAAAGTTGAATAAATACATGATAACTTTAAAAAATATAAAATACATCATTTTTTTTAAAACTCACGTTAAAAAAAGGTTTATTTTATTTAGAAGGTTTAATTTATTAACAGAGTATTGATAAATTTTTTTAAAAAAAACATTCAATTTTGTAAAAGAGATAGATATTTAGAGTATTTTGAAAAATCTGAAATGAAAATAATAAGAAGGTTTAGAGTTATTAAAAAAAAATATAGCTTCATTAATAGTAAATTTATTATAAAATAATTTAAATTAAACATAAAATAGCTTAATATAAAAAAATCTTTAATAGTAATTTTTATTATAGGATCAACAAGGGAGACTGTCTAAAATAAGAAAATCAGTTACACGATTTATTAAAAAATTTTTTTATATAGTATATAATACTTTTTAAGAGATCATCTATCTGCATTTCTTCAAATAAAATGTGAGTAAGATTTCTAAGCGAATATAAAACTTTCTCACTGTATTATTATAATATATATTGAATTCTTTTGAATCCCACAACCTTTATTTACTATTAATTATTTAAAAACATATCTGAGAGTAAGTATTATATAGAATGCTAAGCTACCAAGTCGATCAAATTCCGTTCGTTAAAGGGAGAAAATAAAGAGAAGCTATAAGAAATGATTTAATAAAAGTAAGTTAAGTGAAGGATAGTATTTTTTGTAATATTTATTACATGCAGCTTGTAGAAAACCCTTTAAAGAGGAGTATTAAGAGAGCATATAAAGAAGGATAGTCCTATTTATGCATTTAACAAAGTGCGAAAAATACTTTAGGAAATTAAACTGAATTTGGTTAATTTTTTTGATCAACTCTATTCAGCGGCTTAATCACTTAAACATAGTAAATAAATAATGGATTATATAAAGAGATTAATGGTACTTATATGCTATCTTCTTGCTTTATTAAATAATACTAAAATTAATTGTTTTAAGGTCGACTTTGCATACTACTTAGATTCAGTGAATATGAGTAATAAAGACCTGAATATGATGGCAAACTTCAACATATTCATCACAGCAAGAATAGTAGATCGTAGAAAGAAGAAGATGTTAGATATATATAGAAGATATATCAAGAACTCTCTTAAAAAATATTCAGAAAATGCCTTTATATTGAATGTTAACAATTATCATAATATTCATATTCAAAAATAAGCTAATACTATTAACATATTTTAGATAGCCCATATGATCATGATCTTAGCTAATCTATATTCTATTCTAGTGATTCTATGTAGCGAAGTAATCAATTAAAAGATCATTAATGATAAATTAATTTTAAGGCATATTAATAAGTGATTTATCGTAAATTTTGGTATTTCTTACCATAATCATATATGAGATTATATGATAAGAGATTCTTTTGATGATAAGATTTTGATAAATAGACTAACAATACACAGTTATAATGATTAGCTGATAGAGAAAAAGAATAATCATCATATACAAAATGTAATTCTTATTGATTTCATCAAAAATAATTTGAAAAGTGTAAAAAAATTATATGAAAACTCTTCAAATTGTGAATAATCAATAACCAATGTAAGTGTATTTATCTAATTATATGATTCTCATCATTGCAGATTGGCCTAGTCAATTATTTATTTAAAAAGCTATTGCACATCAACTTCTCTTTAATAATAAAACCATTTCTCTATTTATCACATCATTTCTGCCTATTATAGGCCCTCTTTATGTATCTTTGAATTTCTACGAGCTTATTTTTTTAAAAAATTCATTTTTATTTAATGAACTTTATAAAACATATTCAGAATACGTAAGAATCTTAGTGAAAGGCCACAACTATAGAGAATTGACCTAATTTTTTATATCATATATATGATATAGTTCGATATTATTACAGTAGCAGTCATAAGTATCTGATCACCTGAGATCATCTATAATTATTATATAACTACTCCTTAAATTTTTCAGAAATATAATTTAACACAATACATGATCACCTGTAAATTTATAAGTGTTGATAATACAAAAAAAAAATTTAGATGATCATCAAACTTTTGCTTAAAAAATGGAACTTTCTTTAGAGAAAAGATATGAAATTATCTTTTTACGTGAACACCCAGCTGGTCCAAAGTTTAGTTTAGATTTATTGCTAAACAGGTACATTGTAGTAAATCTATAACTATTTATTGAGTTAAAAGATATCATGAAAATTAGGACCTAA